AAAGAACATCTTTTAGATAAACAATTAATAAACATAAAACCAGAAAGAAGAACTGAAGCCTCTTCTCGTCCTTCGACACGCGGGCTGCCCCAAGGCCACCCCCGGGCCTTCCAGGCCCCTCAAACAGCCGAGATAAACCGGACAGGGAATGGTTTTGTTCATACAAATGTGGTTGGATCCAATACTTAAGTGCATATGTAGCTGAATACAAAAATACTGTGTGAGATCAGTAGGCTAGGAGTGACTACTGTAGAACTAACAAAAAATACTGTTACAGTGCCCATTGTCTGGAGAAAAAGCTTATCAGGTTTGCTTGCTTTTTGTCCTGCAATATATGGTCTTAACTAAATATTATGGAGTTAATTTCAAATGTGTCTCCCTCAACATACTTCCTTAAAATGCTGTGAAAGAAAATCTTTTATTTAATAAGTGGCTGTGGTCCACAAGTTCTTTAGAGTGAGAATGAAAGTACAAAAATTTTGGACTACCTGTCCAAGAGAAGAGTTGAAAGGCAAACTGCTGGTAATGGTATAGTCAGCACTAATTAGATTGGAGTATTGCCTACTGTCCTTAAACTGTAGCACTGCTGCCTTGTTTTTGCCAGGTATCAGAAACTGAGAAGTGTTTAGCCTGGTCAGCAACTGATTTGATAGATAAAGGTGCATTTGTGACTTAGTAGGCAGTACTCTAAATTAGAAAATGTGATTTGGGTCATTTGAATTCTGCTGCTAGTTTCTAATAAGGAAAGAACTTGTTTGTGACCATTTTAGTTGCTAGAAATTCATGCCAGTCTTTGTAAAGTTGTTTTGTTGTCTTGAAAATTTAGAGAACTGATTAAAAATTAGTTCATACACAAATACACACATTTTAAAACAGGGACATAGATGACTCTTTTTGTATACCAGTGAGCTAACATAGGTGTTTGAGTTGCTGTGAGATATGCTTCTGCTATCATTCCCTATCTTGTACAGTGCAAGATTGAGACTATTAACAGCTTTAAAATTTCAGGATGTGTTTCCTAAAGATAAATTCTTGAGATATGCTGACTATTATTGCCTTCCATTTTAATTGACTATAAAAAGTAATATAATTATTTAAAAGTGGAACCATTTTTCTCCTACAGTGGAATTCAAATAGCTAAATAGTCTTCCCATCTCTCTGTGGCAGATTGATCCTGGCTGGGCAATAGATGCCCACCAGAGCTGCTCTATCACTTATCTGGATTAAAGGTGTGACTATTATTCCTTTCTTCTTAGGCAAATTGTATCCACTTCCCAAGATTGCACAAAATCTGTTACTGGGTTACAGAGACGATGCTGAAAATGATGTGCGTTCTTGCACAGAAAAGCCAACAGGAGACTGAGAGGTTGAAGCAGGGAAATAGATTTATTTGTTATCCAGAGAGCCTCCTGGCCAATGCAAGGTAATCCACTACTCATTTTCTTATACTTTGTTTCATCTAAATTTAGCCACCCCCAAAACATGGGATTTCTGCCGTTTTGCTGGAGGACTATAACAGGTTAATACATCTCGCATAGAAGTTTTTCATGGTGTTCAGTGTAAATTATTTCACAGATGAAATATACCTTGCTGTCAGGGAGCAGCCTAAATTTTCACTTTCTTAATTTCATCCCATTACTCCTCGTTATATCCCTTGTACCAATCTAAATAATTCATCAACCCTTCCTAATGTTTATACCCTTCAAATATTTATAGGCAGTTATCACATCTCCCTTTAGTCAGAGCTTAGTTGAGCTGTTCGTATTTAGACCTTTTAATCTTTCTTCATAAGAAAATCCTCCTACACGAGACTGAGGGCCTGATCCTCAAAGGTATGTAGGTGCCTGTCATTGACTTGGCAGAATTGTGGCCTAGATATTAGTGCCATTAGGCAGCAGGTTTTTTCTTTTTTCTTCTGTCTGAATTACTACTTATTTGTCAGCCTTAGATTCCAAGGGGTACAGAAGTGAATGTGATATTCTGGGAGCATTCCGTGGCCAGTCCTCCCTGGTTTGCTGGCTCGTGTATCACCTCCATATGCACATCCCCCAGGGTGTGTTGTGCCTCTTGCTCTCACACAGAATTGGAAATTTGTATCTATGATAGTGTTCAGTATTGCCCTTACTTGCCTTCTGTACCTCTATATTCCAGATTTCTTACTACTGAATTCCCTATTCTGTGTATGTGAGTACATATATTTATTATAGATGCATACATATATAAAAAAATGGTACCTACTGCCCATTGTCTGAACATAGATGAAAATTAAGGGGTTCTGCTGAACATTAATCTCTATATCACCACATTATATAGTTTTCCAGCTTCGTGTGGTGGCATTAATCACTACTCTCTGTTTACAGATTTTTTTCAAACAATTTATTGTCCATGTAACTCTGCTCATATCCAAGCCAATTGAATTAAGATTGTAAGGCAGAATCCCTATATCAAATGCTTTACTAAAATCCAGCTACAGTTAATTTAGTGCAGGACATATTTCGCTGTTTCCAGTGGTCTCTTAGGTCCCTTGGGTATGAATTTTTCTTTGAATCTTCCATTTTTGTCTTGTGCAGTATGAATTATTACTGGTGATTATGGTTTCTGGGCTACCACAACTGGAAAAACTCTCTTATTCCAGTTAGAAATGAAAATAGTCATCTCATGTTTGGACTCAGGATTGACTGAAATTTTTTTTAAATATCAATTTATGCCATCACAGAAGAGTTTAGACACACAGGTGTAGGTATGGAACCAGTCAGAGCTGGATAGATCAGCACACTAGTGGTAATGACTGAATTTTTGTGGGCTTAATATGAAATATTTTTAGGTTTTATTCCTTTAGTCTTTTTTGTCTAAATTAAGGAAATAGTTAAAGCAAATATTTTGAAATTAAAATCAAGTACTATGTAAATGTGTAAAAGCAACTTTGTTTTTGAGAGGATAAAACTAATAACCATATTTGAATGAACTTTGAGAGATTTCTTGGCTACATCAAAGTTTTGTCTGAGTAAATAGCTTTTGCATAACTCTACTTCCATTTTGTGTCTGGCAAATGTGAAATCAAATCTTGGAACTTGATAGTGCTATTTTAGATGCCATAGTCCTGGTGCACAGTGACGCTACGTCAAAGCCTGTATATCACCCACAAACCTGCCAGACTGAACTGTCTCTCCTTTGCTTGTTTTTCTGACAGTGTTTGGGTGGTGAATTTGGATTATTTTTTTCCTGAAAGGGCTTGATGCTTGTCAAGTCTGTAAAAAAAACAGACTTCAAAATATTACATGGTAGTAGCACCAAGTTTGAATGACTTTCCTAAGGCTGACTTAGCTCATCTATGCTATTTTTCTGGATGACCTTGTTTTATTGCAGGGAGCACATTTCTGTTTTTAGTATTCAATACAATGCATTCAATACATCTTTCATCTCTCACTATTTCACATTTGCTTATTCTGAATCTCATGATAGATTGTCATCTACAGCAAAACTATTTTACTGAAGACCCATTTCAATATTCTACAGAGCTGCTGTGCATTATTTTGAGTCTTATGTACCATTGCCTTACAGAGGTATAGAATTTCAGCTTCCATCTTGCAAAGCTGGCTTGTTGTTAGTTTTGTGATTTTCTGGCATGACATGAATTCGTGTCAATTTATTACATAAATTCTTCTGTTGTTTAAACTACTACCCAAAAAGTTGTATGCCTATGTGATGCAACTATGCATAAATGTGTCCTACCAGAGAGACTCGTACTCTGCCTCTTTCTTTGCAAGGAGTGCCATGTGAGGGACTATTTTAGGTTACGTTATCAAAAGAAAGCTTTTGATGGTGTAAAATCTGTTTTTCCCTCCCAGTGTTGGCCCATATATATTGTGAACAATACAGAAGACAAAACTCAGAATTTTCTATGGGAGAGTGAGCAGTTAGATGGGCTTCATGCTGGCTTGGACCAAGATGGATCATTCAGACATGGGAAATGAGGAATTTCATTTTTTTGGGTTTCTAAACAGTAAGCAAAGCAAACAGAAAAGGTATAACACCTCCTAAGACCGATGGTCTACTACTTAAAATCTATTTTTTTCTATTATAATTTTATACCTCTGCAAATGTGTAGTGCTGGGGAATCAGGTCAATAGTGTTCCTCTGACTGTCTGTAATGATTAAAAAAATACCAACAGAGATGAAGTGTTCAGGAATTAAGGGAATAAAAATGATCTCACACATTTACAACATTAAAAATCACTAAGATAAACTTTTTGTAAAAGCCAGTTTATTTCAATGTTATATTCTAAACTCTGAAGAAAGTACTATATCTTTCCAAAATGTGATTAATCAAGTGGTCATTTCAGTTTTATATAGGAATAGAATATTAGGGGTTTGATTTCATTAGCAATTTTCTTTTACTGATTTAAATTCAAAACTTTCAATTTTAATAAAATAGGAATGGCAGGAAGTTGATACACTTTCTACTCTCTTATTAGAATAATAGTGTTAGTTTCTTTAGTTCTAGGAAATGAATAATGACACCAATTATCGATCTTGTGACAGGTTAAGAAGAATATTATCTCAATACATACTAGTCAGCTTCACCTTTTATTGACTTGACCTTCAGCTCCTCTGAGAAACAAAATTAGGACACCTACATAACTTTGTGCTGTGATTTTGAAATTCTAATGTGGTTTGGATTATAATTTTGAAATTGGTAAAAGAGTAATCTCTCAAATGGTTAATCTGCACTGGTAACACAAGCAGATAGAGTTGAGACAGGCTTTGATCAATAACCAATGATAACATAGCTGTTGGAGATTTGGGATAGGGTTTTTTGGTTGATTTTGTATTATTTTTGTTAAGTTTCACCTTTCTTTATTTGCCTTTTTTTTAAGGGAAAAAAATCCTTTAACAAAAGGGACCTGAACAAAGGAATAAGCAGGCCTTCCAGTCCAGCAAACAGTGTGAGTTGGTTAATATTGTCTGAATTTCAATCCTCACTTCGACTATACTGCAAAATATTTTTCTTGCTTTCTTGGGGAAAAGACAATTCTAATTTGGCTTTTGCTGCAGAAAATCTACTAAAAATTCAGCTTAATAAAAATGAGTTCTATATGATGAAGATGAAAGTCTGCAAATAGTGGAGTGTAAACCAGTACAATCTAAAATATTTTGTCATGACAAAGGTACCTTGGCTCCCTGTAGGTCTTGTGGTAGCACCAAGGTCATCCATCCATCTATCATCTATCTATCTATCTATCTATCTATCCTATATATCTCCATTTTTCTGCTATCAGAGAAGGAGATAGACATGAAAAAGAGACTTGCTAGAGGAAGTAACATATCTCCTTATGTAGGAAAACAGAGGTTTATGAAGATGAGCGCATACGCCCTGGTCGGAGGTGCACATCTCCTTGAGAACACCTGAAGGTGTTTTCTAGTAAGAGAATGCCTACAAAAATGAAGTATGAAATTGCTGCAAATTGAACCTTGCCTAGATTTGGGGTAAAACATATTGATCAAGATTGTTTTTCATGAAACATGTAGACTTTCCTCTACAATATTCATAACAGTCACACAATCTTGTTGACCTCTAAGCCTGATCTGTGTTAACAATGAAAGGTTATTCCTTCTATCAGTCTCCCATCTGAAGCAGCAGAGGTTCCTGTGACTGATACGAAGGTTACAACCCTACTGACGAGCAGTCGGATGCCTTGGGATAAATCCTCTTTTGTAGTTTGCCCTCTTAAAAACCATGGCAACCTCACACATGCACAACTCCAAGCAAATCAACAAATATATCCATGTGAAAAGACAGTGAATTTACAAAAAATCCTTGAGATGTGCGAAAACTAGAAAATGTCAGAATTAATCTGTTAGTACAACTTTTGTGTGCTCCAGTGCACACATGCTTAATATAGTGGTCTACTTGTGTGTTCAAATCCTTTTCTTAGGATTTCTGATTGTTTTATTTAAAATGGGCCTATCTAAAAGAGCAGTGAGAAAAATGTAACAAAGAACATCATTCCCCAGAAGTGCTTTACCAGTTGTATATGTTCTTTTAAGTGGGCTTAGTGAATCAGATAGACAGTTGTAAGGAGAAAAATTATAGTTTCTTGGGTTCTATCCTTGAGTATCAGGCTGTAGAAATGCACTTTCTTGCTCTTTCTGCCATGGAAATCCTGTATGTTGTTAGGTGTGAGGATTTCAGATCATTCTTGTCACAGCTAGCAAGGAATTTTCCACCACTGTTTCTTGCATGCCCCTAACTGTCTACGATGGGAGCATCTTCAGCTGAATTTCTTGGAGTTGTGCTATGAACACAAGTGGAGTGTTGGGCACACTAGAAAAAAGCGTTCACCTGTGGAGTCCAAAGTCAGGTAACTTTTGTTCTTATAAATTTGTGTCATCGTTGCTCATCTTCAGAATGGAAGGAAAGTTTCTGCCTCACTTGCAGGCTGTGAATATTAACTCCTTTTCAGGCCCTGCCATGGGCAGTGCCATAGAAAAGGCAAGGAAAAAATTAATCATTCTGTTTTAGGAGCAAAGAGACAGACCACATTCTGTGAACACACACCAGAGTAATGAATGAATGATTGTTCAAACTGTCCCCACATTGACCAAAACATGGATCCTGCAGAAATATTAAAGCCAATGTCACTGAGAAACGTAGCAAAAGAGCTAAGGAACAGAAAGCTGAATGAAGCCACATATAATCATATTTCTGCCAGATAACTATATTTTATACCATTTTCATGGTTTTCCCTGCAACCTTTTCCTTACAATTTTTTGCTGGCTATAGGCAATGCAGCAGGACTTCCTTTGAAGACCTGCCTTCCCCAGGACTTCTTGTAAGCTGTAACTGAGACTGGGATAACTCAAAGTTTTCAATTTTTAGACATTCAAATTGGATCCAGTGATAGAGTTAGAAAAATGAAATATTATGGATTAGCAGAGCCTAGCCCTGGGTATTCCATAGGAATCACCAAAGGCCTTTTGTGTTATTTCAGCTAAAGCTAGAAAATCTTTTCTTGGGAAAGTTCATTTTGGTACTGAGAGATGTTGTTTCAGGCTTTTTGCAAACAGTGGAAGGAAACTTAAGACTATTTCACTTTTTCATCTCACATGCATAACCAAAATCCACCACTAAAATTATGTGTTGAGAGGAACTTTTGGAACTGTATGTGTAGCAGGGTTAAAGACCTCATATGACCTACTCACACAAGTGCTTCTCTGAGTGGTTTTTAATACATCTGAGCATGCTACGATTTGTTTAAAAGAAATAACATTATATGCCACAGTCAGGAGCATTCTGGACTTGATTGCTTCTGTTTCATGGTGAGAAATTTCAAAGTGGCCAATTTCAGCCGGAAAAAAATGCAACCCATTTCTTATGCAATGCAGTTGCTTCCATACCTGTTGACTCTTTTTTTGGGATCTTCCAACCGTGATAGCTTATCAGCAGGAGTACCCACCAACCCAGGCTACTTAAACACTGTATGGATTATTTGAGCTATGCTTAGCCTATTGTGTCCTTATTCTTACATGGCAACATTTTACTCTGCCAGTAGTGCTATGGAGTTTTGTTGACATTCTCAGACTCTGCAGTATTGCTCTGGGTCAACAGTCTGCTCACCAATTCTTCCATTATTTATGTCCCATCTTTTTTTAACCTTGGGCATCATTTAATCAAAACCAACACAACAAAATAAGGTAATAGTGTGTTTCTGCAGTAAATTGTGCTTTTAAACTGTTCTAAGTTTGGCAATTGTGTTTTATTCATGGCATGTTACCATAGGAAGGGAGAAAGTTACAGAGATAGAACAAAATATAATGCAGTAGTATCTTTCTACATGGTTTTGTATTCAATGGAGATTCAGTGTTTTGAATGGTAGGCTTCTGGAAGTTTTGCAATTAGACAAAAATAATTTAATAATTGTGTTTTTTGGATGATTTCTTGGATGATTTTTAATTTAATTAGCCTTGGAGGAAGAAAAGTGTTGACAAGTCAGAGTTTACTTTGATGAAGTGCAGTACTTTGATGTTACTGCCTGTAACAAGAGCTGTGATTCTATTGTTAACTACAGAACAGGCAGGAGAAGGAGGAAGATAAATTTTGGTATTGTGGCAGAGATGCTACTGCAGCAAGAGTGGCAAAGAATTTTCCTAAGGTGTTCTTGACAATTGGTGTCAGGAGTAAAGCAATCTAAAATGATGGGTATCAAGTAATATCAAATAAGATTCCTGTGGAAATACACACAAAATCTTTCACGTGGGAATAAGCAGTTTGTATGTGCAGGGTGCAAATGATGGAGGGTGGTTCTAATGGTTAGATTTTTGTTCAGGCAGCTTGCTTTTAACAGGGTTTGTGCAAAGATCTGTGTAGTGTAGATCAGCAGACTGTCATAATCTTGGCCTTGGCTCTTCAGTGAGAAGCTAAGAATGTTGGAAGTGCCAAGTGATGAATACAGAAACAATCTCAGCATTTACAAATATCCCAGTGTTTGTATCCTTTTATGTGGGAATTAGACACCAAAAATAAAGATTTGATACTTACTCTGTCACTTACTGGCTTTTCTTCCTAAGTAATAAAATCCCAGCTAAGCCTTTTTAGCACTCCTGTCCCATGATGCATGTTCAGTGTTGCTGCTTTGATCCACGCCATTTTGGGTTTTGATCTCTTCTCCTTCCTGCCTCTTTCTCTCTGTCCATCATCAGTAAAAAGCTGCTTTGCAGAATTTAGAAGCACACTGAACTTTTGAACTTGCATCAATGGTTAGTTATCCAAATTTCTAGGAGGGCAATTGCTATTTAAAATATTTCTATTGTTCCTTTTGCAGTCTTAGCCCAGATAAAGCAACCATTGGTAGTGATGTGAATCTCTTTGGTACTTTCCTTTGAATGTATTGGGAAATACATATTAAATACATTGCTTCCACATGTGTAATGTGAATTTAATCTCCAAGTCACTAACTCCCAGGTCTACTTCCTGCTTCCCATGAGGTGGGAAGCCTTGTAAGCTAATTAGTGATAGCACATAAGCTTCAGCCCTCAAGAATACTGTTCATTTTATTACTTGTACTGTGTTAAAAACTGGAGGATGCTGCTGGATGGCAAAATTCATGGAAGCAAATGAAACACTTGGCAATGGAAGAAAGCTTCAGGAATGCTCAGACATGCTAGTGCAAGGCCATCCTGCAATCACACATGTGCCCAGTCAGCCCACAGCTGAATGAACTTGGGAAACAATCACAAGACAAATTTTAATATATAAATAAATATACATGTAGGGAGAGATGTGTGAGAGCTCTAATTGCCTTCATGGGGCTCATTGGAGGGTTCTCAAGGGATTGTGCTATGGCTGCCCCCTGGCCCTGAGCCAGTACATTGAAAAATTATATCTGCCTGGTCTCAGTGATCTAGGCAATGAAACGTTGATTGTTCCTTTTCCTTTAAATGCACTCCTGATAATGTTTGGTCTACTTACAAAGAGATTCATCATTTGTATATCTTTGTCAAAATGAAGGGGCTTGCCCTATTGCATACCTTAGCATTCCGCTGAGGCTTTAGCACTGTTGGCAGCTGGCTACTGAAAGATTTTCCTTAGAATAGAGTAGAGCAATAAAATATATTTTGTGAATGGGGGAGGGGGCAGTGATATCCACAGCAGAGAGAGATATTCTAAATTGCAGAAATTAGAAATAAATTATCCAAAAACAGTAGTACTTTTATGGCACTGTAACCTCTACTCCTGTTGGGGCTTCTTAGAAAAGCCTAGAAGCAACAAAAGATGTGGGATGCAAAATGACAAAGGTCAGACACAATGTTCACTACTGAGTTGAAAAGCTAGGCTTGGGGAGGAACTTGCTCTTTGAAACCTCTTCTTACAGAAATAGCAGTAGCATAGGCTCAGTGGCCCTTACCCTTAGTGAAACCAAGTGAGTTAGAGCACATCAAGGACCCT